TAGATCTGTGTATGTATTCATGCATAAATTTATACAAAAAATAAAGTGCACCAATTATTATATTATAAATTAATATATTTTAATGGATTATCTCTGTGATAAAAAAATTCTTCCATAGCATTACAAAAACTGAGTCATACAACAACAGTGAAATAGTGCTTATTTTTAATGTTTATATTGGACTTAATTCAAATTTACACCATAAAATTACCTGATGAAAGTTTCTTTCAGTCCATCCCTGTCAGAAAAGCTTGGGGACTCTAAATGGGGGTATGCTTTTGGATTATTTCATGACAACTTTATGAAACAGAACAATTCTTCTGGTTAACCTAAAATTTTCATGACCCATTCTCTTTTAAATTTTTTAAGGAATGTTCAGGTGTCACTAGGGAAAGTGCTGGAACTCATGCTGACTATCTCTTCTCCCAGTCCCTTCCTTTCTTGGTCCAGGGGAACTACACATTTTCAGTGTAAGCAAAATATCATGTTGAAAGAAGCCTGACACTTTTCCACAGGCCTGGTCAGCTTTCAGTGAAGTTGAATCACAGTGAGACGGCAGTACACCTAAATTGAGGTTTCAGAAGTGTGAACATGAGGTGTCTCATGTTCAGCATTAGCTATGCACTCATTTGCATATTTCTAATAGATGGTAGCCCTAGATACAGCAAAGTAAGGAGTTCTGCCAAGGTGAGTAGAACATTGGGCTGGTATGTGATATGCAGAGAGCATCATCGTGTGAAGATCTGGTTGGAATTATGCACAGAATAAACAAATTTGTTCCAGATATAAGGAAAGCAGAAAATTGGTTATGCTTAATGTGTCAGTGGCATTCAGGTGAGCTTTTCAGAAACTGTGTGTGTGTATAAATATTTGTATCCTATTATTTCTGAAAGACAAGGGGATAGTTAGTCCCTTTTGTCCTTATGTTTTGCAAACAGAGAATTAAGTGTTTGCACATTTCATGAGAGAACTTGTTTTCAGAATCCAAATAATCTCAAGGGATTCTTCTCTGTATAAGAGTTGTCGCGCTCTCTGAAAATAGTGATAGAATTGGAAGAAAAAGGCAAATATTTTACTGGGTGGGGGCTGAGCCTTTTTCCCAATGTTTAAATCCTAGCAGAATAACAACTGAAAGCTTCCATATTTCTCAAGGCAGCAATATTAGTTGTCAATACACGAAGAAACTCCATTTGGAAAGTTCAGTTGCTTCTAAAAGAAGGAATTCCCATTACTCTTTGCAATCAGGTTAAAAAAAAACAAAACACAAAAACCTAACATTTCTGGTCACGGCTAGCCACCTTTAAGAAACCCACAAGAGTCTCCAAGGAGCAGCCAGGGCTTCAGTATCTGTGGCCCTCAGGGGACCTTCAGTATTAGAATTGTCATAATGGCCCTGGCCTTAGAAAAGGTTAATTAAAATATTTCCAAATAATTTTGCTTTTTCAACCAAAATTTTTAGCTTCATCAAAATACATTGCTCTTAGCAACTTGATAGTATTAATAAAGTATGAATAGGGAATGATTCTCAGAGAAAGGGAAGGGGAGTAACAAGCAGGAAGAAAGGCTGAAAGGTGTCAGTAAAGAGAATTATCACTGGACAGCATCATCTACAGTTCTCACAGGAGTTCTGTAAGAGGTTTAGTATACTCCCAGATTTTTTGAATTTGGGCTTCAGGTATTATTTTATAATTACTGCTCCAAAGGGAAAAAAAAAAAAAAAGCACTTGCACAGAGGTTTGTCCTACAACCTAGCAAAGTATTTGCATATATTGCCCCTTTCTAACTGGATAGAGAGAGGATTTGAATATCAAAATCCTTCTGTCAGGCCAGTGATATAATGTGCAAGTCAGTAGCTCTTCTCTCACTTAAAGTGCAGTTGTGCTTTGAAGGGAGGTGGGAAAGGACAGAGAGAAATCTTTTGCATGCTTTTGCATGTATCACTACAGAACAAGCCTGACTCTTTTGAATGAAGGAATGAAGGAACTCTTGACTCTTTCCTGAATGAAGGAAATCTGTCATGAGATAGGAAAGGTTTTTCTTTTATCTATATAGATAGGCTCATCTATCTTTTTCTCCTCTACGATTTTGTTCTTTGTCTTCTTTCAGTGCATTCTTCTTCTTTCTCTTATCACTATTTTTTATTATTTACACATTGTTTCACCATTCCAAATTCTGTCTACTCTTTTTTCCTGTTCCTGCTTTATTCTCAGTTTGCAGCATTTTTCATCATCAGGCAGTTTTTTTGTCCTTTTTCTACTTTTTCTCTTTTGTCTCATTTCTCCTCCTCTTATGTAGGAAAGAAACAATAAAGAAAATGCAAGTAAAAATATGCTGGTGCATCCATATGAGACTTTGTAGAATTAAATGCAACAAGCTTGTGATCTGCAGAAATAAAATCAATCAATCACAATTAAAATACCAACCAGTTCAATATTGTAACTCAAATATTTATTAAAAATTAATGAGTGATTACAGTATCTGTTCTCCTGCATATGTCTAGCTTCTAAGTGTTACAGAATCCATTCAGTTTCTTTAAATGAAAAATGGATTATATAAACATGGTATTTCATTACTGAGGTTCATTCTTTTGTGAAATAGTGTTATTTGTAAACTGCTTTTCTAACGACAGCTAGTTAAAAACACTATTAGAATAAAACACGTCTGAAGCCCAGGAACAAATAACAATGTACTGCTGGCAGTAGGCTTGGAGGAAAAATCCAGTGTGACTTGCATTACACTGAGCGATTTAATTCTTCAGACTATGTCAAGATTTTATATATGGATGGTATTGTTCCTTGCAATCATTCCAGTCAGAAAGGGACTGCATATATCAGCTGGCCAATTGATTGATTTAAAATAAAAAACTGAAATAAGACTGTTGCCTTTATTAACCCTTACATGCTAATCACCTGATTAATAGCTAACAGCCAGGCTTGGAGGAAAAGGTTTTGGGTTTGCTTTATTTTCTTCCACACTCCTTCTTTCACTTGATGACTTTTTAGCTAGATAGGTAACTGAACCAGCTAAATGCTGTTAGTCAAAGGAGCATGAATGCAAGACAGGGATAAAGAACCTGTAGGATGTAGGTATCCCTGGGATTTCATTATGTTTTGTCTTGATGAACCTTACATAGAACTGATTTTTAACAGAAGAGGTGAACTTTTACATGCAATCTTATATCTGAAATTTTCCTGAGAGGCCAGGCATTTCTCTGACACTTAATTTACTTCTTTTTATTTGGGACAGAGCATGGCCTTTGTTCATTATTAAAACAAGCACCATTCCACTTATTTCAGTACAAGAACAGATCCTTGCTAGATGAAATATCATGCACTGTACCTTTTCAGCTAATATTCTTCTTCAGTAGGAATTAAAATTCCCCTTGCACTTTGTCAACTCAAGCTGTGATTCTGTGGATGGATGAAAGTATCAGCCGGCAAAAAGGGGAATATCAGCTCAGGTTACACAGTTACATTATTTTTCTCAATAGGTCAAAATGAAACAAAGTGTTCTATTTGACTCAAAGTGTTTTTCTTGTAATTTTTTTCTCCACTATTTCTTGACATTTTGGACTGAGTTAAGTTAAATCTTACTCACCAATCTCTAAGCAAAATTTTCCCCATCATCTTGGGCCTTGGTTTTATTTTGTCTGCATCTTAATGTCAAGTGGCTAAAGGGCAGAAGATATCTCCTAGCTGTTTTTTCCTTGCCAAAGGCCACAGAGACCTAGATTAAATACTTACTGGAAAAATGAAAAAAAACCAAAAAAAAAAAGAAAAAGCAAAAAAAAGTTTTCATTTGTGTTTACACTATATTTAAACCTATTTCCTGTAAGTAGTCCAGTGCTCTCCTTGGTATCCTGTTTTACTATTTAGAATAGAAGATATTAGCTATGGGATGAGGACTGCAGAAAAAACAAGCTTCTGAAATGTTATGACAAAGATACAGATTATTGTTTCTTTTCATTCTTTTCTCTGCCAAATAAAAAGCAACAAAAACCACAGCCCTTCTGGAGATGTATAATGATAAAGGCAGCAACTGATGCAGCTGTCTCACTAGATATCTTCAACCAAATTCAATAAAAAATGAGTTATGTGAACTCATGTCTCTGCCTTCCCCATTGAGATGCCAAAATCTGGATGAGTGAGTGCATGATTTGAGAGCCCATGTTTTAGGGATAAAAATAGCTTTTTCTGTTGCGTTTGCAGGTAGATATCTAGGCAGAACATGAACAAGCACATTAATGAAATAAAATCAAGCTTGACTAGAAGAAGCAAGTTTCTGTCTCAGGAAAGGCTTTGTTTGTACTGCAGTCGGCAGTTCCTTTGAAATAATGGGGCTGCACTGACTGGCACTAATAAGCATGGCCAGAGGAATTTCAGATCAAGAAACAAATGAAGCAGAGCAAAGTAGGACAAAGGTGTTGCCAAGTGCCCTTCTTTCAAACATACAAGGATGTGTCAGTGTAAGAATAATGTGTTCAGATCTGCTCAGCAAATCCAGGAACACAAACTGCAGGTTTGATCAGAGATGGAGAAATTTCCCTTATTTGTGAGATATTTGTGTGTTTATAAAATGACTGGGGCAGGTGACTAGCTTTAGCTGAAGGTTTCTCAGGCTCTCTTGATTTTTACCAGGTCCTAAAAGTGTTACAAACATCTTCATAATGGAGGATGTAACAGTGAATGACTCACAGATGAATTTGTTATGCCGTCAAGTGCTGATTTTCAAACACAGCTTGCTTGTTGCTACAGTGGCAGATACACAAAAGTCTGTGAGGATGGTTTTATTTTGGGTTAAGGTTTTTTTTCCCTTGTGTCTGTAGTTTTTCTGCCTATATCCACTGTTTTACATAGATGGTATATTTACATTGGAAACAAGAAATATTAAGAGAGTGCTTAGAAGATAGATATGAATCAGCTGGGTTTTGCCTAAGAATATTGTGAAAACTTACAGTTTCCAAAGTTTCTGAATATTTATCTGTGCATGTTTGTTTGCAGGGGTCCACTACACCATATGCACACAATGGTGCCCAGGTTTGGACTCTACAGGAAATTTCAATGTGCTAACAGTTGGCACTTTATTTGTGGACACACCCTTTACTTCCAAATGCACAGCACTTCAGCTTCAGGGTAAGAAAAGTCATCTTCCCTCATTTCCTGGTGGTAAAATTAATGGATTCCAGATAATGAAATAACTTCCCTGTAGATCTGGATCGTTCCTTGGTTAGTTTCTGCAGCTAAGGAAAGCACAGCAAGGCCCCACCAATCATTTCTGTGATTGTTCTGGAAATTCTCTCTCACGGAGAGGAAATAACAGGGTTTGTCTTGTTAGTGCAAGTGAAATCAGCTGCCGGGAGAAGGCAGCATGAAGGACCCTGTGGACAGCAGTCTCCCTGAGAATGATCTTTCTTCCTTTTGGGAGAAACAATTCTTTCAAGTTCCTTATGTTAGTCTGTAATGGTAAAAAAATACCCAAAGTTGTCAACATCGGGACATAATCACAACTGCCCATTTTACCCTGAACACCAAGGCAGCAAGTTCTAAATGATTTATCCCAGAGACACAGGATTTGTGCAGCACAGCAAAAGACATGAGGACTGCTCATGGAAGCTGTTGTGTGGGTCTCTTTACTCCTCTGTGCATAATGGTCTCACAGTCAGGATCACTACAGAGATTAACTATGCTGGATTCATATAGAAAAAAAGAATTAATAACTTGGAAATTCTTAGAGTTTGTTGTTTGTAACTGTACATTTTTGCTTGCATATAGGCATTGTAGAACTAATATCTCTTACACTCACCTTGCAAAGTGCAAAGATTTATATTGGAAACATATACAGCCTCCAGCAAAGCAGGATAGGTTGTTGTAGTCTAGCCTCTACTGAACAATACTTAATTTATAAGAATGTGGAACTCATTATAGCTAAGCTCTTATATATTACTGTCTTTTTTGTTTGTTTTCCTCCTCAGAGGAGAGAAATATTGACTAGGGAAGAAAAGTGTATATCTGGAACAGCATTTTGTTCCTGTAAAATTACTATTAATCTGAAATGATTTTCCATTTACTGTATTTTGCTCAGTGATCAGAGGAAGAATGTATTAATTTTTCATTGCATTTGTTTTCATGGAAAATCTGGTGATTACTATTATTAGGATTATGGACTGAGTAATTTTTCCTTGTAACACATGCTTTCATGGGTCCAATTGGTTGTGTATTAACAAAACAAAGAAGCAGTAGAAGTGTTTTTTCCTGAGCTCAGGTAAGAATATAGGCAGATTTATGGGTTTTTCTTTTTCTTGGAGGCTGTTACAAAATATAAAATTTGGTATGTGTCCCCCTTCTGTAGGATAGCTGTAAGAACTTTTTCTTTCCTGCAAAAGAGAAAAGTTTTGAGACTTATCATTGCTTTCCCTATGTGTTTTGTGTGTATCTATCAAAGAGATAAAATTGCCACTCTCCATCCTGGCTTCCGCACATTGTAATACCTTGATCTTTCCTTAATTTATCTGGAAGCTATGTAAACATAATACTGGTGTTCAGTTTCCTTCATAAAAATTACAAGTAGTGTTGTTTCTTGTTCATTCTGAGTACCTCTCTTCTTTTTCATGGTGAGTTACTAAAACTTGAGAATTTCAGTCTGCACATCTTGATTTTTTATTCCAATTCCACATGAAAGAATGATTCCTCAGTTTTCTTATTGTTTTGTAATAGAGTGAGGTTTGTCTTTCATTGATTTCCTTATTTTGGAAACTTTTACAAAGCAAGACTTTATATGCTAGTAGGTCCTACTGGATTATCTGAATTTCTGAACACTAGTTCATTATAGCTCTTATGCTCTATCAGCAAAACACAAAAACAGTTTCAAAACCAGACCTGGGATATCAGTGGTGAAACAGTGCTGCAAACAAATGTCTCATACCCTATCCAATGAATATTTCAGCATTCAATATTGCCTATTGGCTGTATACAGTTGACGAAAAAACAAATGTCATCCTAATATTCCAAGGGTATGTAGCTATAAAAATGACTAAAGAATAGCTAGAATTTTATGTTGCATATAGAACCTACCTGCAGGAAAGCTTTACTTTATGGAGTCATTTAGACATTGACAGCCTAAGATTTAAGAGAAGCCATTCCTGAGTTTTGCAGTATTTTCAAAGTAATAAAATTATGCTCTTATGTTTCTCAAGTTTCACAAAAGTCAGTTAGTCTAGTTTTCTTGCTTTGGGATATGCAAGTTAAAAATGAATATGTATGGACTAGAAATAAGAATTTTAGGTTTTTATTTACAATGCTCAGAGATTTTTTGACACTTAAGAGATTAAAATGATTTGTAGCTCTCTACCTATGAAGTGCATTGTGTACTTGAGGTTTTCTATACAAATTTTATTTGTACTGTAATGTAATAACAAGTATAAAAAGGCAGAATTATTTATATTAACAGTAGAACAGCAGCAGTCATTTCTTTCTTATGTTGATGTCTTAGAGATTTTAAAAAGATGCCATATGTACATGCTCAACAAATTTCTTTATGCATTTCTCATCGTATTTTCTTTTCCTGGGCATTTTAGGGTAAGGATAAATTCACTTAATAACTCCGTGTGCCTTCATTTTAAAAATATTGACTATTTGTGTCCTGAATAATTGCTATATTGGTGATTGCTTACAAAAAAAATTTAAAGCTCTGCACAGTGAATAGACTGGTAGTAAAAAATTATATGCTAAATAATTTATTTTTTCAATCTCCCAATCTAGGAGAAATGATCTTGCTCTAAAAACAAACCAGAAATACATATAGCAGAGCACTATAAAATCAGTATCATTTATTTTATTTTTTTTTTTCTAGAATGAGTCTTTATAAACATAGCTACAGTGGCATGCTAACAGCTCAGTAAGTCGATCATTCAGGACACTTACTCTACCATAAGTGACAATAAAAGATAGTTTGCTCCACAAAATCAACCATGTGCATTGAACCAACACAATGTAATAAACAGAAATATTGTTTATGTAAGTTGAAGGCATTATAAATCTTTTTGTAATCCTATAGAATCTTTTCAATAGAAACTTGCCTAATAACTCCAATATGCTATTTGCCATCTATGAGATGTCTTTATATATGCTAAACTTCATAAAAGACCCTATTGGAGTGCTATGACTACAGATGGCAATGGATTTTCTATATTTTCTGAGTTTTATTATTCAAAATCCTTTCTAATTGTTTAATTAGCAGGGATAGGAAGCTCTAGTCACATATCTCAGGTGGGGTCCAGAATGGGTTTGAAGGCAGTTTCAAAGGGTGGAACTGTGAATGGGAAAATTAAGAAATTTCTTTGCTTTAAATGCCTTGACTTGGCAGTTAAGGAAAAAAGTAAGCAGGTGGAATGTTTTTCTGAAGAGATCCAGAGCATTATGAGAACTGAACCAAGTTACAAAAAATTTTACATGCATCTAGAGAAAACTCTTTGGGATAATTTTTTGGGATATTTTTTGGATATAGTGCTTGTAATAGTAATAACATCCATATATTACTATTCATTATCATATTATAGCCAGCAAAAAGTCAGCCTCTCTGTTTAGAATTTTGTATTCCTACACAATTTCTCACTCAGTCCTGTACCCTGCAGGCTCAAGAAACCTCATGTATCCAATTTTTCTTTATATGAACTGTTAATAGCTTTTCTCAACATTGCTGACCATTTGTCCTCTGAGAGGACTAACAACATACATAATTTTCAAGATTTGACATACGATGGATCTGCACAGTGGTAAAATGATTTTTTTTTTTATTATTTTCCTATTTTTTTTCCTAATAGCCTGTAACATTGCATATTTTCACCTGTACTGAATTTAGGTTTTTTCGTTATTTGAATGTACAGCTCAAAGAACATTCTCTTGCCTGATATTCCAGAAGCTCTGCGCACATCACTGCACATATCAGACTGAGATTCAGTTTTGTTATTTTTTTCTCCAGTGTGTTGCACTGTATAAATACTGAGTTTTGGCTTCCTAATTTTGTTCACTTAGTACCATGAACTTGCAGTTATTACTGCATTATTGCAGTTCATTGCAATCAGCATTTTCTGGCTCTATTGTGATTGGTGTTATATGCTAACAGCCTTTGCTACTTCCCTGATATTCCCATATCAGTTATGAATTTAGTATTGAGCACATTTCATGTGATTCCACCAATGTCCTTCCTGCGTCATGGAAAATTATAATTTATTCTGTGACTTTTATCTTTAAACCTCTTTAATCCCTGTGAAATCTTGTTATTCCTTGACCATTTAGTTTCTTCAAGAATTATTGTTGATAAATCATGTCAAAAACTCCTTGGAAGTCAAACTAGACTGTAACAAATGCATTTCCCTTTTCCATGTACCACCTTTTTCAAGAAACTCCATCAGGTCCTTGATGTCTTTGATGTGTCTTACAGAAAACATGTTGACTGCTTCTCAGTGTTTCGTATCCATACACTAAATTCTGTTTCTTATTATAGTTTCTATCAATTTTCCTGGCAAAGGCATCAGAGGTAATGGTCAGTAGTTCCACAAAATTCCAGGAAAAAGAAGCTTAACAGATGTCATCCTCCAGCCTGCTGGTGTTTGTAAAGAATTAAGGGAGAGTAGCTCAGATTTTTCCAGAAGTGCCACATGAATATGCAATAGGCATTTATTAGTCCCTACTCTTCTTCTATCAACATTGTGTTTCTTTCTTCTTTTATTCCATCTTCTTTTACTCCTTGTGATATTGTGCATCTGCCTATGTTACAGGCTCTCCAAATAACAGAACTCCAGCTGGGTTTCTAATATGTTACATTGAAAAAAATGAAAAAATTAAACAGCTGAAAATAGATTAATCCAAGCAAAAATAACCAAAATCACAGTCATAATAAACAAAACAAGTGCAAAGGTGGAAATCAACAGGCCATGGTTTATGTCCCAGACACAGACTTAACTAATAAAGAAAAAATTCTCTGGCAATTTGAATGCCCCTGATTTGAAACTGGTACCAGTAAAAACGGTTCTTAAAAACAATGGTAAATAAGCTTTCAAATCCCATTTGTCACATCCACCCCACTCTGGGGCATCAAATGAGGGACCACCCCTTCTTGCATACCATTCCAAGAA